AAAAGAGTCACCCATCTTCTGGACATTTTTGTTCCTGCCATCACCAAACACTCGGGATCCTCAGACAACAAGCCCTGGTGTCTGGTTTGAACTCTCAAAACCAGAAATCTCCGTGGTGCTTCTTCTCAACTCTTCCTTGGTTAAGCCTCACTGGCCCGCATCAAGAGAAACTATAGCCAGATGGGCAGTTTCTACCACCAAACTCGCTAATGCTGAATGGTCATCCCCATCTGACGATGCCACCCATCACCACACCCGGGCATACAACTTCAGAGCAGTCTCTACCTCGTGGGCCTACTTCTGAGGCATTCCATTGGAGGACATTTGCAAGGCAGCATACTGGAAGTCACAGTCTACCTTAACCTCATGCTACCTGATTGACGTCTTGCAGACATACAGTATCCATGGTAAGATGGTTCTGGCCTTCTCCACATCAGCACTATTGGGCTATTGCTAAGTTGGATGACTGGAAGTATCCTATCCTTCCTTCGGTCAATTTGTCTCGTATATACTATGCTATTTATCATCATTTAACTCAAGTGCGCCCTCACTGACCCACCTCCCAGGTCCTGTGCTAATCTGCATATGTGGTGACTGTCTGGGTTGACCGCACTGGATTTTTCCCCCCGCAGCAGTGCAGGAGCAGTCCTCAAGGTTATACTTACAGATACACATTGTGCGATAAATTGTTGAAGTGGAGGTTTGAAGTACAGAGTTTTTCAGGATATTTCAGTTTCCTGACATTTCACTCCTGTCATATACACACAGCATTACATTATGAGGAAAAGCCATGCACTTGTACATTTGGTGTGATGGTTAACAGATGACTGTGCAGGGCTAGCCAGTCACTCTGTACTTTCACCCTTCAGGTTCCTAGCCAAGAACTGCTTTACAGAGCACACCTTAAACTGGGCAGCTAGTAGGACAGAAAATAGCACAGAAAAATGCTATTGAGTGCACCATTTTATCGTTCTTCATTGAACTGATAGTTTTCCTTTACACTTTTACAACCTAAAGATCGGGCCTTTGATAAGAAAAATTTGAGGAATAAAAAAGAAATGTTTTGACAAGCTTTTTCACCAAGTAGATCAATTTCTGTGCATGAATTATAGGGGGTTAATTAAAGAGGCTACATCTAATACTCATGTTTGTGTGCAGGATTTGTTGTACAAATACGCAGCAAAGATATAAATTCTTTTTGAAAATCATCTTAATCGTATGCTGCCGGGGAGCCCGGTTTTGGGCACATAGGCTTTATACACACAACCACGGACAAAAGAACTGGGCCTTGTAACAAAAGACTGTACCCGGAACAAAAGACTGAGCTGTTGGGAATCGCCAGATTTTTTTCAGTTGTCAATAGCAGAGGAAATCCATCCTTATTTTTAGAGATTATACTGTTAATTGTGCCACTGATTGATTACTACTGGGGACAAAAGCACTCCAGCGATGAGCGATACAATACCACTGCACGCTAATCTGGCCCCATTGATAAGACACCAGTAGTGCACTGTGCCAGTTTTGGGAACAAATTATATTACGTATTACTGCACAATCTGGTCTCTTTTTACAAGGCGGCAGACCTGGCTGAAATACTTGGGCATCAATAGTAGATGTTTTCTGTCAGATTAGAGTAGTCAGCAGACAGTTATTCGTGTGGGTTGTAAACGTCCTGTAAATGAAGCCATGATTTTTTTTAAGAATTTTGAAAACGGAAAGTCTTGGAAATCTCCCGGTTTTACATCATGCAACTTCAAATTCCACCCAGCAGCAAGTGGTTAAAACCATTGGCTTGTAGACATTTTGTATATTACAATTTTGCACACCCCTTTTAAAAAATGAGAACAAGCATAGGGCTTCAGTATGCACACATACCCCTTTCCCCCACCCCACCCCTTTTTAGGTTAATGGTTAGTGTTATTGTTTATTACACTTTACCTTTTCGCAGCCATATGGCTGAATTACACAGGCATTAAAAAACAATCTATTTATAAATTTAAAAACATAAAAAAAATTGGAAAATCACTAAAGTCATCTTAAATAATGATACACATTAAAAATACACATTAAAAACATGCAATCAATCTTACAACTATTAAAAAAGTATCAAAAGGAAATAACAAAAGAAAAATCATCAAAAACGTTCTGATGTCTATTGACATGCAAATAGAACAAACCGGATAACCAGATACAAGGAACGGGAGAAAAGAATAGGATGAACGTTGATGGTGGAGGAATTAAAAAGAAGTTATTTACAAATGTAACATGTTAAGTCTACTATGTAAGGGAGCTTGTCCAAAAGGTTGCACCACGGTTTTAACGTGGACACCACAGATTTCACAGGTCCTTAGCAACCAGCCGACTGTCCACTGCCCATGCCAATTTACCATATCAAAGGAACTATCTAACAAAGCCCCCTATTGTTGCGGTTGGTTCCTCAGATGCTTTGGAGAGGTGCGGTCACTGCATCTATTTTAATTAATTGGAATCCAGTCCCTTAGCCCTTAATTGTTGCACAAGAGTCATGTTCTGTTGACTTGCGATCCTTGAGGTCCTTCTTTATAAGTTGCACTTTTTGTGCCACAGAGGTTGTCAGTGCATGATTGGTTAGCCTAAATTCATGCACTTTGAAGTAGTCGGCACTGGCCAAACCCTTTCACTGCTGTAATTACGTCAATTGTCATCTTTCAGAGGTACACTTTTAAATTCCCAATGACTTCTGGTATTCCGACTGGAGCTTGCTATCCAATCTCAGAGAAATACTTAGTATAAATGTTTGAAGAGAACCACCGCCAATTCTTGGAACCCATCGGAAAAGTACACATAGGAACTGTCCATCACTGTTTAGAAAGGGTATTTTTGTTTCTTGGCAGATTGGATAATTTTTTTCTTTAATTCTGATTGAAAAGGGCCCTCAGCCATTAAAAATTTACTGCCCAAATTTTTAGCAATGTAAATACGCAAATACACGAGAGGGAACTAGAATTCCTTTTGGTCTAAAAAAAATGATAATTGTTGCTCATTTTTTGCGTAATTTTTCAGGTAAAAGGGTGGAAGGTTAATTTCAGAATGAAGTCTTTCAATCTGAAAACAAAGACTGAGCATGTATTTCAGAAATCTTGCACGTCTTAGCATGTTGTTTTGAAGACCATATAACAGGTTATTCTCCACAGAATTAAGTGAAAGATCAAAGCACAGACAATTAACTTTATATCTTTGAATATCTGCATCCTCATAGGGCAGACATCTTATATTTTTTAAGTACTGTTTGTAAGGCATAAAATTTGAATGCCCAAACCAAATAAATTACCAAAGGTAAACATTGTGCAAATAAAAATGACAGACTTTGTTTTTGTTTCACTTATTAGTAGGGGAGAAGGGCACATGAAGTATGCATGAAGATACATTAACCTCTGGTATGCAGAGCTCTGTCCAGCAGCAGGCCCCATTGAACCAGCAGCTGCATAGTGAATAGACTGTATGTGTGGTATGCACTAATCCTGACACAATGCTGCGGCATTTGCAGACCTCTGAGGAGTTTTGATGGTGTGCACAACACCAGGATATGTTTTATTTTATGAAAAAAATCGACAAATCATGCACTTAAACTTGATGTATGGAACAATCAACTCAGTGGACAAAAACCGTGCAAGGGCACTGTATTTTGAGCATGCTACTACTTTGAGACTCGCGTGTGAAGATGCACCCAATTTACAACCGTATCTCCTTGTGATGTTTTGGGGTCACCAGCATATCATTAATACATAATGAGCATTTCTGAAATCGACACATTAGGGACTCACAGAAAGTAGATTTTTTTTTTACCATTAATGGGAAAACTCTTCCATTTTTTTATGTTAATTTTTGAAGATGGTCTTGTCTCCCAGTTTAAAGGTTAAATTGGGGAAAGAAGGTTTTCTTTTTTCTACCTCTTTTAAGCAAAGGCCGATATCTGCTGTAAGTCATCATTTTGCCAAGTTACATGCATTCATATATTGTATGATTCATTGCACCAATTGGCTTTGATCATTTACCTGGACTTTTCTCCTTAACAGTACAGGCCATCATTTGCAGTTATCCAAAAGGTAGCAGACCAAATTATTGTTGAAAAGCATACTCGTTTGTCAGATGGCCAACTTCAATGATTTGTACAGTGTCAAATTGGCTGGAGTTTACTGTAGATTATTTTAATAGGAATTGGTAATCCAGACAAGTTTTTTAAGTGTCTTAACCACTACCTGCCGGGTGACCCATTTTCGGGTACATAGGCTTTATATGCAGAGCCAGAGAGCCCGCAACTGGGACAAAAGAGTTGGGCCTTATAACAAAAGACCATGCTCAGCACAAAAGACTGAGCTGCTGGGCATTACTGACATTTTTTCACTTTCAATAGTGGAGATAATCCGGCCTTGTTTTGAAATAGTATACCATGGTTTTGGGCATTTAGAGTGAGCGAATTACCACCAGGGACAAAAGCGCTCCACCACCGCAGCGATGAGCCACACAGCACTGCTGCACGCTAATCTGGCCACTATTGAAAATAGGTCAGCACTGCACTGTGCCAGTTTCAGGAACGAAAGAATCTTACGTAGCACTGCACAATCTGGGCTCTTTTTCCAAGGCTGCAGGCCTGGCTGAAATATTCAGGAGTCTATGAATTTTAGCTTTAGAGTAGTGCCCAAAGAGTCCTTCATTTTGGTATAAATGGCCATTAAATGAAATGATGAATTTTTGAAGAATTTTGAAAACGGAAAATCTTGAAAATGGGCCGGCATCTTGTCTTGATCAAGAAAAATCCACCCAGCAGCAAGTGGTTAAAACTCCCCAAACCCAGGAGCTTAAGGGAGTGCTGCCCCCTGGATCCTTTAGGCCATTGACCCCACTGGTAACGTTGCATTTGCATGTTATATTCTGTTTTCTGACTGCAACCCCGGCAAGTGTGTTTATGGATCTCTTCAGCTTAGTTTTTAAGCAACTTTACTCTTATTTTGAATGTAAAGGTATCACCGCATTGAGCGCAAATGCAGGACCAAAGAAGCTGGATGTAAATTCAGACAGAGCGTGAAAGCTGGGACAGACGAAGCTAAGGAGCTACTGGACAAGTTTGAGAGAGCAAGAGCAAAGGTGATTTAAAACCACAGCTTTGACCAAAGTTGTCAGCTGATTCGTACATCATTAGATGGAGCTACTACAGTACATATGCACATACATGTAGACTATAGTCTGTTGCTTTGAATTGTACGTAGAGTGGACACACAGCTCAACTAAGATCTATATTCTGCCTGTACAGGTGGAGTTCATGTTTTGTACATGTACAGTTGGGGCAAAAAGTTTACATACACCTGGTAGAACAAAAACACTTTTCCTTGAATTTCGCAACTTCACTCATTTATGCCAAATTTGCTTTTCATGAAGACAGACGAGATGGGACTCTACTTCATGTGCATGGTGTATTCGTCAAATAAAAACACCCAGATATATATGATTCATATTTATATTTCAAAAAATTCAAAATTTTATATACTCCAATCCTAACATTTAGTTCCTGTTGTATTTTGTGGTCACATTTCATAGTCGTAGTGAACCTTTCTCTGAAGTGTTTTTGAACATTAATTAAGGGGTAGATGTTAATTTCCTAAAATGATTTTTCAGAAATATTAATATTTTCAATAATTATAAATGTCTCTGAGTATTTTCAATTGAAGTACACACTATGAAGATTAAGTTGAGATCAAACCCTAATAAATGTCTCTGAGTATTTCCAATTGAAGTACACACTATGAACATGAAGTTGAGATACTGTTTGTCTGACCTCGTAAAGAAAAAGTTGGCCAAACTATTTCTAACAGCCAAAAACTGAGGAAAATTTTTTCTGCAAAGTGTACAGTATGTAAACTTTTTGCCACAACTACATGTATATGGCAAGTTCCATGAAATATGGACCATTAGATAATATTAACTGTAGGGGTTTATTTTTCCTGAAGTGAACAGCAGTGAAGTAATTCACAATATCTGATGAATTGAGGGGAGTCATGGCTGATATCATGCCCATCTTTCAACTTAATCAATTAAAGTCTCAAACGTCAGCATTTTTGACGGACATGAACAACCTCTTATCCACCTGAAAACTATCAGGAAGTAATAATACCTGCAGTAATTTTGGACAGATTTGTATGTTGTGAAAGATGATAATATTGGCTTATATCAAACCATAATCACAAAATTAAAAACATGTCTTACAAATTATTGGGTCCTGAAGTCAGCAGTTGCGAATGTTATTTGATTCTATAAATAATTGATCTAAAAATAGCGAGTAAAATCAAAAGCAATGCACAGCACAAGTTTGAGAAAAGAGTGCAAGAAAGGACCCCAAACCATCATCCATAACAGCTTGAACTATCACATTTTCTTCATGTACATTTCCGTAAACTGCTGTCCAAAGTAGCAATCAATGCGATTTTATGGCGTCCAATATTTCATGGAGACACTACAGAGTCCACTGCACTCAACTACCCAACACTTCTACATTTGCTGCATGTGCAAAGTTCCTTCACATCTGATTCTGCTTGTTGAAACTTGATCAACCATAGTGTGCCCTCCAGGCCCATGATGCCTAGCAGCCCCACCGCCATGTTTGTCCTTCTTTTCCTCTGCGTGATTCTAAATGGACATATCAATTTTGGCATCTTCAAGTTTTGCGAGTTTCCGTTTTGCTACCATGTTAATTTGATGATTAATTTGATCAACCATAACATATTGTTATAAATGTACATTCAATATTTTCTTGTTTGATGTGTGCATTTTCTTGTTTTCGTGGTATTTTCTCTTTTGTTAATGCATCTTACATGTTCATTGATTCTATGTTGCTGTACTACCATACAATACACAGGGTCAACGGAGCGACCCTGGGATTCTTATGGGGGTTCTGCGAGGCAGTGCGAGTGATTAAATTCTGCGGTCCCCTCTTTCCTTGGTATAAATTGGCTCAATTGGGCAACTGAGGGACTGTTGGGCAGTGCGAGTGACTTAATTTTGTGACCGCACTCACCCGTATAGATGAACAGGAGTCAGTCTGCAGAAGATTGAGGGGCATTCCACACCACACTTTTGATTCTGCACTAATTCCTGCTGGCAGTACCATCCTCTGTCCGGTTCAGGCTTAGCCCACACCACGCTTTAAGGGTCTGAGCTGTACTACATGCAAAATCCAAACACTCAGTTCCTCAACTTTACCACCAAAGTAGCACTGCACATGGGGTTTAATTTCCCCGCAAGCTGGGTCTGGGTGCACTACCACCAGTTCCAAGATTTCCTACCGAGGGACGGTGACCAGGAGGGATCTCTCCTTAACCAGCACCTACCATAGTCTACAGCGGCCCAACGGCATGGCTCACAAGGCCACGTGCCGGGATGGCCCCATGCCTCCCATGCTGGCTGTGCTGACTGCCTCACCCTAGGTGCCGCTGTCTTCAGATGTCTTTTTACCGGCGTACCCAGTTGTGATAAAAACGCTACTCTCTCTTGGGCCAACACCCTGTATTTACCCCGGGGCAGCCCCTGCAGAGACGGTGCCCTTCCATGTAAGCACAGCACCACCCACGTCCTGGGTAGTGGAACCACCGTGAGTCACCACCCTTCCAATTCATGCAGCATGACTCACAAGGCTTGCGGAGGGACAACCCCACGTGCCAACCCCACTGAGCACCCCATGCCTCCAACCACCATCCTCAGTCACTCTTCATCAGGGGGAATCCAGGCTTGGGTAGACACTGTATGCTAATTGGATGCCCCCTGTTTGCTGGTGCAGCCCTGGTAGACACATTACTGGTCACACATGCACAATCCAGACCAAAACATGGGTAGCCGGTCTGCTTTGCCGCGGAAGCCTCTGTACGCCATATGAAGCCCTATCGTCTACCTTCCACCTCTATGCCTGTGCCTTGAACCAACTGTTCTTCGTTGCATCCAGGCATGCAGTAGACACTACACTCTACCGGGCAACCCTACACATACATTGTCTTCTGAAGCGGCCTCCAGTGAATACAAGACCAGGTCACGCATAGTCAGCACGAGGTCACAGCTCAAACAACTCCCAAGACCTCTGTGCCAGGGACCCAGCCGAGAAACAGAGTAGTGTGCTACCTGGGTTGACTCCCCATCATTCTCTGGGCTATCCCTATGAATATGACTTTAGACTACGTATGAGCAGCCTACTGGGTGCAGCCTTTCCACCATTGGTACCCATTCATGGAGGCTCGCAAGAGATGATTCTACACCTTATCCTTACCCGCCTTACAGATTCCCAATGACTGCCATACGCATGATCCCACTGATGTCCAAGACTTTTCATTGGGGCACCTAGGCATGAACTAGACAACGGCTATCCTTGGGCAGACTTCCCCATTTCTGGCCCTGTCCTGGTGACTATGCCGTTCCAAATTTGGACCTACTATTAAGTTTCTCTGATCTGCATCTGCGCCTTGGGCGTCCGAATTCACGGAACTTGACACTATTGTGGATTCCACTACTATTACCACTACGGCCTGTCGTGTGCGATCTCCTCAGATTCTTCCACATGACCTCACCATGTCCTGCTCACAGTCCAGACAGGAGTTCCTCAAATGTGGGCTTGTCCAAATTTTATATACTGTGACTGTTACAAGGTCTGACTAAGTGGGCCTACATGTACTGTTGGCTCCAAATTTTGTCACGAGTGTGCCTTGGTTTACCTCTTCCGACAATGCCCCGCATGATCGAAACAAAGAGGCGTACTCAGCAAGGCTCTGTCCAATTTTCGTTTTAATATGTGCGTTCATTGAGCCAAAGAATAAATTTGAATATTGGAGTGCTTTTTATGTCCGCTGTAGTTCTTCTGAATGGGAAATAATAACACTTTGCTTTCCCATCTGGTAGTGCTATTCTGAGTCTTACATGTAATTTTGCAAGGACACTCCATTTCCACTCTCAATCTTCACCCCTCGGATGCATGTGGCCTGACTTTAAACCCCCGTGCATGTGGTAAAATGGCCGGAGTCCTCCAACACAGGGACGTCATCAGCCATTCCATATATCAGACAAAGCTCATTTTTAATTCTCCAGAAATACTTCAACATCATTCACATGTATTGGAGTTGTGGAACGTCGCTAAGTGCGACTTACATCCGACTTAGCTAGTCTTGCGGCAGTAACCCCTTGCTCAATTAAGATGAAGTCAGACCATCTTCATCTAGACTACGTGGAGTTTTTCTTTATGGTCTTCGATACATTTCATCTCTTATCAGAGTACAGCAAGCAAGAGCAGTGACTTGCGAGATGCGATGTTTTGTTCCCATAGGGCACTGTTTGAGTGCTCACCTAATTCTGTTCTGCCTTTCTCATTGTGCGGTGACTTTCTGACAAAATCATCATTTTTTGCGATTAATTTGAGAAAATCTTGCCTGCTCAGTAAAGTGAGTAGTAATCTTTACTCTTGAGGTTTGATATTAACATTGAATGACAATGAATTTTCCACCAAATATAGGCCATAAATTAAGAGTCTGTGGCACTCTAAGTACCCAAACAGTCACTGCATATGCAGATTTCCCATGCATCTATTATTTGCTAAAAAGAGTTGACCATCTGAGGTTCACCCTGACCTCCCACAATGCAACGTGGCCCTGCCCCCATGTTCAGAATGTATTTTTAGCGGTTTTCTTGGGCATGACGACCCAGCCGCTAGAGCGGGTGCTCTATCATTTAAGCAGCCATTCATGGATAAAGGCCTAGCCACTTACATGTAAGTGGGCTTTTCATTTTGTTTTAAAGTGGTTGGATGGGGACAAGGCCTAGCTGCTCAAGGGGGCACTTTAGGGGTTCAGATCAGTAAATAAGCTGCCACAGACAACAGTGATAAATATCCCCACTTCAAAAAATCAGGAAAAATACAAGTTTCACAGGCATTCAAGACACATATCTAATTAAAACTCACTTCCTCATCTTTCATTTTCCTTTCAATTTTCAGTGGCTTAACTGATGACTTTTGAAGATATTTTTCTCCAGAGAAAATTACCCTCACAACAGTCTGGAGGCTCATTGCCATTTTCGAAATTGATGCCTACACTTCATGGCAAAATAGAGCAATTTGGAGGCCCTCGTTTGGTCTGATACTTTGAGAAATACAAGCTGACAGGCCCACCTCATCCACCTTTAAACAAACCACCCAGTCCACTTGCCACAAAATGCAGAGAATTTGAAAATACAAATCATGACTTCGTCCGTGCAGGCAATTTTGGACCTATTTACTGGCCTGCAACCTTACGTTCTATGTGGCTCTGACGAGGTTACAGGTCTTTAATAGCCACAAACAGGGATTCCCCTTCCTGGGATGTCCTTGACTCATCAGTTGAGCACAGATCTGTGAGCACAGAGTTGACTGAAGTGGCAGATCGGGCGGCAGTGACAGCGGAGCCTGATCTTGCGGAGAATGAGGGCAAAGGCAAAGCTGCACAAGTGGGTGTGCCGTATTCTAGGCAGCTCAGACAAGGACTCTGGCCTTAGCCGCGAGCGGGGATTCCCCTTCCTGGGACATTCCTCACTCATCATTCGAGCATAATGCCATCTGAAGCAAAAGCAAGAACTCCCCTTTCTTGGACATTCCTCACTCATTACTTTTCTACTTCTCTGCCTTCCAGTAAACAGCCAAGCTATCTGAGATATCAGTCGGCCCTGTGCATCTGCATCAGTCATCTGAGAGAATGAGTTGGCCCACTGATTGCCCATGGCTCAGAAAAACCTGCTAGACAATGGGGCTGCAATTTTCCCTCTGCCTGCAGCGGTTACAGCCTGCTGTAGTCCAGCGGCATGTAAACATTCTTCTTCGTTGATTTCTTCAAAACCTCAGAAGACATACCACTCAAAACAACAGGAATCTCCACCTTAGCCATGGATGACAGCATTGTCTGGTGCCTAAGTGATAAACCCCAGACGGCTTCTACCGCTCCAGACCTGTCTTGCCATCGGTAGACCCTCCACCCACCACCCGTACTGCGTTCCCATTTTACAGTTCAGAACGCGGGACTTTTCAGGGTGTGCATCAGCCTGGTGGTCCCCCACCAGAACATTCTGCTACATACGAGAGCGTCCACGGCTCAGACCATGACACTGCCTTGCCTCAGTCTGAGCAACTGGCCATGTCTTTAGATGACATTGATTCTGTCAGCAAGCTCCCCCCCCTCCCAGCGATGCCTCTGTCTTCTACAGCAAGACATGATTCAAGTGCTCTACTTGCCTGGTGAATATACCATCAGTATGCGGACCCAATTCCGAGTCTCCATCACAGCCTTCTGGGGCGGTTCTTGCTGCCATCGGGAGGCCCTCCCAGGCCACGGGGAAGTGAGTCCATGCCTTACCTGGTACCTGTAGTGGTATGCCACTACAGGCCTTAAAGTTACCAGCATTCAAGACTATGTTTCTGGGCACCCAGACAGGAATGAGCAAATAGCGTTTTCCGGGCAGTCTTCCTGTCATTTTTAGCTCAGTCCCAGTAAATTCCCCATTATGATGCAGACCTACCACTGCATCTCTCCAGTCTGCATCCCCAAGCATATGAACTAAATCTTCAAGCCGTTCAGGTTTTTACACAGTCCTTGTCACACTGTAATGTGGAGTTTCCCCAAGAGGCCTTCGGGAAGAAATTTTGTGAATCTATTCCCACTGCGGCTCACCACATAAAACTTTGTGGTCCACAGAATGACCATTCTGTAGTCCCCACATACAATGTACATAGCTCCACGTGGCTGCAAATTCTGCCGTGCAGCCCTGCTATGCCCTGCGCACTGTTCGGGTACGTTTTTACTTCATGGTGGGTGTGTCCTTCAAAAATACCAGTAGGCCTGCTGTGAGCCTTTGTTCTGATGGTGACCTGGGCCATTTTTTCTAATTCAGTTGTTGAAGTTGTAATTAAAGTGAACGTTTGAGTTACTAGTAATAGATGTAATTTGTGTACCAAGGGTGTGTGTCATTGCTGAGCCATAAAGTTTGACGATCTGTAGCATGTACACCTCAGTTTTAGGCTTTTCCAAACTTTCAAGCTAAAATATGCTGACATTGATAACCTCTCCTGACATGACGTTAATATAACAAAACCTCTCAAAGAAAGTTCACTTAATTGTAAAAAAGTCTGATTTTGTAAACCTACCTCATCATTTTTATATTCTTAGTTGTTCTCCCTTCCACAAAATTAAAATAAATTTACACGTACTTTGATAATTGTGTGTATTGCTATCAAGTATTTCAGTCGTAAAATTTTTAATCGTTTTGCAGCAAATGATGTCATTTCTTTATCTTTTCAGGAACGAGTGACTCTCAAGCATCGTAACACAGGAAAGTGGGCCAAAGGATTAATGCGGTTTGGGAAATATGACAGCAATGTAAGTAATGAGACCTATGTAATTATTTTTTGAATTGCTCAATTCTGATGTTTTGTACATACTGTGCATTCCAAATCAATATGTGCCCAAATTTCCACTGCTTGTAACCAAAGAGAAATACATTTATTATTTCTTTCCAAAAATATGTAATACAAAACTGCTGCAAACTGCTTGCTGACTACAATGACCTAAAATACAAATCTCAAAATATGGAGGGCCCGGCATTTCAATCCTAGCAGAATCTTTCTCAAAGGCAAAATGACAAGTGGACATGACAAACAAGCAAACAGAGAATCAACTAAGCATGGATGAATGCAAGAGGACAAAAGGAAAGGTCAAGAAAGGTGCAGGCTGGATAAAGGGGCAAAGGATAAAGGGGAGTGCATGAAAGGCATGGTTTAACAACAAAGGAATGTAAGGTGGGAAGAGATCAAAGAAAAAATACAGTGGATGGAACTGGATGGGGGGTATAATTTGCAGACAAAATGGAGGGAAAGAAAAGAGTGTTAATTAGTAGGTTCTCTCTTGGATGTTCAGGCCATGGGGTTGTATGGTGCGGAGGCGTTTAATCCAAACCTTCTCCCTGTTGAAGCGAATTGCATCTTTATGGAACTCAGGTGATTCTATGCCCTGTAAGAACATGTCAGACATAAAATGGTTTAATAGGACGGTCGAAGTGTTGGCCTACAGGGGTATCTAGTTGTTTGGTGTTGACCGTGGATCTGTGGCCATAGAAATGCTTCTTGAGTGTTCTTCGTCTCTCCAACATACTTAACACTGCACGCCCTGCAAGAGATAAGATACATGTAAATACAGTAAAAAAGATAATCGATG